CCTTCATCACCATAGGCTCTTGCTCAAATGCGGCTTCATTAAATTTTTCTGTATCTGCCAATTCCTTTCTATACAATGACTCAGTATATTCCTTCCATCTTCTTTTGATACCTCCTGGATCATTTAACATTCTGCCTAAAGCATCCTTGATTATAGCAACTTGAAGTTTGAATTTGTTCTTCAGTTCCTTGAGCTTAAGAAATGCTGAACCAATGCGGCCCTTTTGATCTTCCCACTCTAGCGCCTCGCACATTTCATTGTAGTATTTTGCTTTGTCATTCCGTGCTGCCTTTTGGAATCTTCTGTTCAGCTCTTTAGTGTCTTGGATTCTTCCTTGTGCTTTGGCTTCTCTACGTTCCAGTGCAATCTTCAGAGTTTCTTCTGACATCCATTTTGGTCTTTTCTTCCTCTTCTGTCTATGTATTGACAGGCCAGGTTTTATCATTTCCATTTTGCTGTGTTCCCCCCCCCCCTTTTTTTCTTGTTACAGTGGTCCACCCACATCCCTGTGGTGTCTCTGTGTGAGGGACTTTTCCTTAAAATTTTTGTAGTTTCGGTATTTTTTTCACAAATTCCTTAAGTTCTTTCTTTTCCACAAATGACCTGACCTTTCCTTCATATTTGATGGGGAGCTCTGCTGGGTACAGGTTCCTTGGCTGGCAATTGTTTTCTTTCAACTTTCTGTATGTGCTATTCCTTTGCCTTCTAGCTGGCTTGGTTTCTGCTGAAAAATCACCTCTTAATCTAATTATTTCTCTTTTGCAAGTGACTTTTTGGATTGTGCCCCCCCCCATTTAGCATTCTAGCTATGTCTTTTAATGTGGAGAATTTGACCATGATATGTCTTTTAAGTTTTTCTTTTTGCGTCTAGTCATTTTAGTGTTTGCTATAATATCTGGGAAGTTCTCTTCTAGTACCTCTTCTGCAATTTTTTTAAGTCTCTTGTCCCTCTTGTGTTCTGGAATTCCACGCATACATATATTGCTCATTTTGATGTCATTCCATAGGATTATAATGGTTTCTTCATTTATTTTTTATGTCTCAGATCTGTTTTTTCTTCTAGTATGTTTCCATTGAGGCTCTTGTCTTCTAGCTCACTGGACTTTCTGTTCCATCTTTTCTGTTATACCATTTTGTTCCTCCAGCATGTTTGACACTTCTACCATTTCTAAATATCCTAGCTTGCATTTTCATGCTTTGCTATTATTTTCAGTACTGTGTTGGAAGTGCCTCTTTGTCTAGTGGTGATTTTTTAAGTTCTTTATCCTCTTTATCTATAGTTTAAACTCCTTTTTCTACCTTTTGCATTTTCTTCTGTAGTTTTTTAAGTTGTTCCTCATCAATCTATTTTTTCTTTCTCTTTCGTTCTGGAGTATTTACTTTCCTAATGGCTACCTTAAATTCTTCCATCATTTGCACCTTCTTCTATAGCTGTTCAAATAACTCTGCATCAACATATTTCTTCTGGTTTTCTGTATGTGGGGTATTCATTGGGTCTACTTCTTTAGGTGAAAGGTAATTTTGGTTTTTTCATGATGTTTGAGGCAGCCTTCTGATTTCTTGACATTATGTGAATCTTTTCTTGGTAGCTGTTATAATGTGTATACCATCACAGGGGAGGGTGATATTCTGTGAATGAGCTATATACATCAGTGCTGCCCTTTTACACCCCATCCTGAAGTGGAGTGACTGTTATTCTCTGGAAACCATGGCTGATCAATACCTGTTCCCCACTGGCTTAAGAAATCCCAAGCCTTTTCTGCATATTACAGTCAGGAAGATTCAGGGATGATAGAGTGCAAGAATATATTGTTCTCCTGAAACCACAGCTCCCCTTACCATAAGAAATACCAAGTCAACAAAGCAGCATTAAGCATGTGTGTGTTTTTATTAGTGTGGGTGGCAACGCTGCTTTGTTCATAATAACAAAGGGTTGGAAACAATGCAAGTGCCCATCAACAAATGAATGGACAGAGAAATTGTGGTATATTCACATGATGGAATATTATGCAGCACTGAAAAACAAAGAACTCATGAAATATTATACAAAGTAGGTGACCATGGAAAACATTATGTTGAGTGAAATATCTCAGCCACTAAAAGACAAATATTGCATAATGCCACTGTTATAAACCAGGACTGATATGGGGGTTGGGGGAAAACTAAGAAGAGGGCGGATAAATCATGTACATGGCATTGAAACAGATGAGGAAGAGAACTATATAAAAGGAATGTATGATTAGGTATTATTGGCATGACAAGAGAGTCTAGAATAAGAGATGCATAGTAAAGTGGACTGGTGTGTGTGTGTATAACAATGAAATAACTTTTCTACAAAGGAAAAAGAGAACTGGGGGGGGCGGCGGGAGGAGAATAAAAAAAGAAACTTTTAAAATATGCCTACTAAATTAAATTCTAGAAATAAATTAATGAAATGTGAAAAAAATTTAAAGAAATACCGGGTCTTCTCTGCATGTTCCAGTGAGGAATATTCAAGGACCACAGATATTATTTTTATTCTTGCTGATTTTATAAAATTTTCTGGTATTATACCTATGCTGTTTTGAGTATCTGTATCAATAGAAATAGCTTTTTGAGGATAAAGTTGTTGTTATGCACTGTGGAATTGGAACCAACTCATATCTGACCCTCCAGCAAGTTTTCAGAGGCAGTAAATCTCACAGAAGATTGCCCATCTTTAACCTATAGAAGAGCTGGTAGATTCAAACTGTATGACTTTGGCCTGAGTTATAATTAAAGGAAAAGCAAGATAAAAATAAAAAAGTGTTCTACTAAGTTACTGTTAATAAAACTAGTAATGTTGCAATTTAATATAAAAATATTTAACAAAACAGTTGTTTTTAGTATTCATATAATCTAAGAAATACTGCGTTTAAGTGATTTACAACTGTTGTTTTTGTGTGCCATGGAGTTGCCTGCAACTCATAGCAACCTTGTATACAACAACCCTAAACCCTGCTTTATACTGTGCCAGTCTTACTGTCTCTGACACACCTACCCCATTACCCCAGTCGCAGAATCATTTCATCTCATCGAGGGTCTTCCTCTCCTGCACTGTCCCTCCACCCTCCAAAGTATGACGTCCCTCTCCAAAAACTGGTCCCTCCTTGCAACATGTCCAGAGTATGTCAGACAAAGCTGCAGAATCTTTACTTCCAAGCAACAGCCTGGTTTTACCCTCCCACAACTACACCACTTATATTCTTTTATTGAAATTAGTAATAAACTCTACGAGACTTTTATTAGGGGAGCTCTGGCAGTGTAGGGAGTTGTGACGTTAACCCAAAGGAAGTATCTCTGGTGGTCCCAATCCACTAGTAGTTCTGCGGCTCCTGAAGAATAATGATGTCAGTGTAAAGACTAAAGTGCTTTTGATTCAAGTCATGGGTTTTGGTTTTTTTATCAATTGTACCTCTGAGAGCTAACAATGAATAAGAATGGCAGAAGAATTCATACTTTTAAGTTGTGTTGTTCAAGGAGAGTACTGAATAGTCCATGGACTGTCAAAAGAACAAGCGGATATATCTTTGAGAAGGTGAAGCCAGAGTGCTCCTCAGAAGCAAAAATTATTAACCTTCATCTTTTATACTTTGGGTATGTTACTACAAGAGATTGGTTCTTGGAGAGAGACATCATGTTAGGAAATGTGGAGGGTCAACAAAAGAGAGAAAGATGGATTGGCACAGTGACTGCAGCAGTGGGCTCAAGTGTGCCAGCGATGATGAGGATGGCACAGAAAAGGGCAGGGTTGTGATCAGTTGTTCATGGGGTTGCTATGTGTCATATGTGACTTGATGGCACTTAACAACAATGACATTTATAATTTGTGTTAGTTATTACTAGGGATTATTTTTTCATATTAGTTTGCTTTCATTTAAATTTGGTTTTTTACTGCTTTAGTGACTACAACAACAGTTTCAATGTATTTGATAAGAAATTCTGTTATGCTTTGTTATTTTATTAAAATATGTTTTCTGTAATTGAACAGAATTATGTTTGAAGAATTTAAATGATTTATCATCTCTAAATCTGATAAAGATGGATGAAGATGTTCATTTCAAACCAACTGGTAATTTTTTCATCACTATTAGTAATTTTACAGTTGATTATTTAAAAATGATTATTTAGGCTCCTGCTCTCTCTCTCTCTCTCAAAGAGGAGAAGCTTTATAGTTTTTAGCATGAATCATGGCAGGTTTCACTGGTGGAAGATTGCAACTTTATTTTCTAAATTAATCCTTTTTTAGGAAAATGAACTTTAGTCAATTTGGAAAACAGAATTTATTAAAAAATGAAACTTCTTTGTTAAAACTTTTGGCATGTACCTGCCTAGTACATTTTTTACATGCTTGCAACCACACCTTATATCATGTTTTTCTATCAGTATTATATTATTGCATTTATTCTTCTTCACAACTAATCACTATGTAACATTAAGAAACTGATAAAATAGATTGAACATAAAGGTTCAGATTATGTTTGACTCCCAAGTCATAATCACTATCTGTAATTATTAAACTACATCTCTCATTACAGTATGCTAAAAACAATCTTTTTTTAAAAATTATTATTATTAATTTCAGTGAACATCTGCATAAATCTTTATTTTGCCTGAGATCTCAGTGGCTTTATTTCTTTTCTACCAAGGCATATAGGCATTTTTAATAACCCTCTCAAGACTAATTTTCTCCAAACTTAAGTTTGTGCATATAAATATCATCATTAAATTTATTTTTGTCCTCTAGTCTAACTAGTTCATATGTGATTATCCCTAGCC